TTTTTTAAAAGTCCATCTTCATTCTCATGACGGCGTGATATCATGGGAGAACAGCTGCTTGGAGACTCCTACAAGAATTTTCTTAGAACAAAAACAAAAAGAACTGCCGCAGTAAATTCCCTGTAGTTCTTCCTTTTGTGTTGCAAACAACCAGGAGGCACAGGGGATGACTGCCTGAGAAAAGTCTCCAGGGAATATCTTGGGCTAATGTCTCACACTAAATATTTTTGCTGGTGAAAAAAAGGATTTAACTACTGCAGATTATATTACTACTGAAAGATATATTAGGCACTCTGGCATGGCTAAGGTGATACCAGCCTGGCAAGGTAGTATCACTCTCGCTTCTAAGTCAGAAGGTGCTGGGTTCAAACCCCACGTCAGGACCTGGGATCATATAATCTAAGATGACACTCCAATGAAATGCTGGGGGGAGTGTTTTATTATTGGCGGTGCCATCCTTCTGATGAGACATCAAACCAAGGTCCCATCTGCCTGTTCAGATGGACATTAGAGATCCCATGACACTACTCGAAAAGAGAACGGAGTTTCTCCTGGTATCCTGGCCAACAATCCCCCAAATAAAATCATTCCCTCACTCCATGGCTGTCAGTGGGATATTTCTGTGTGCAAACTGGCTGCCACGTTTCGCCCTTGGCTCATGTGGAGCATAAACTCTGGCATAGGTTGCGTTGAATGGCCTGTTTCTGTGCTGTATATTCTAATATACAAAATACGTAAAAATAAACAGTCAATCCACTTTACAGTATATCCTGTGAAGCACTTTGAGACATCTCGATGATGTGATAGGACGCTATATCAAACGCAAGAATCACATTAGAGTGATTCAATATGGATGGCACTATCTCAAGATCAAAACTTATTCATATCCAAAACAGTTACTGTAATGGATTCTCTGCCAAGTAATCTAAGGTAGGCAATTCCTTCTATACTATCTCAAAACCTATGCAAATTCTCATCCTAACTCCTATCCCCTGAAAAGTCAAGTTGGGGACTCAATTAAGGTATTTTAAAACAATTCTATTACTAAAAATACCAAGAAAGGTTTCTTCTTATGAATACCTCAAATGAAAATTACCACTTAAATAATGCAGTGCCTGGCCCAATTGATAGCACTCTGGCCTCTGAGTCAGAAGGCTGTGTATTTAAGCCTTGTATCAGATTACAAAGGGCACCATTTTCAGACCAGACACCAGGAAGTATTCCTTTACTCTGAGGACTGGAAAAGGTTACCAGGAAGGTGGTTGAGACCAAAACATGGGACTCATTTAAAAAAACAGCTTGATCCTGTGATGGGGGGATGGTAATGGGGGTATTCTGAAAGGTTAGGATCAAATGGACTGAAGGACCTTTTTCATCCAAACCAATCTTATGGTTAGGTGAATAAATCAATTTGACTCAGAAAATGCATCTTAAAGAGAAAGATAGGCTAGCACTTTGGATGTGACTGTCTCAGTCAGGAATTAGGAACTGAGCACCAGCATCAGTAATGATATTGTTATAGATCTTGTGGATACTTTACTGTCCAGACATCCCATGATTCTGACTAACTCCTACAACGTTGAAAGCCACAAAAATGTGTTTCGCAAAATGTATATCAAGCAGCTATTGTGACTTTGAGGTGCATTAGACATTTAGGTCTACTTCAACTGAGGAACTTTTCTTTACGCAATCTGTGGTTGACGCCGCTGTTTATTTTTGGTCCAGATGAGGTAAAGTGCCATATAAAGATGTTGGTTGCAATTTCTTGTTGTTCTTGTAAGGAAAGTTATCGTTCCAGGACAAGGCTACAGCCAGAGATGAAAATGTATAAAGAAAGTATAAATTAATTATAGCTAATGAATCTGAAGAAAAGTACATCAACGATGTAATAAGGCACTATTATCAACTGCAGGGATTATAGATCTTTTTGCTCATTACCTCCCTAATAGGGAACATCTCAACAGAAACCAGACAAATGGAAATTATACATATGTAGAACTCTCAGCAGTTTGCTTTTGAGACTTTTAAGTAAGGTGATAGGTCACCATGTATGTCAGGTATGTGGGTGACAAAAAAACAGAAACTCTCAGGAAAGGGATAGAGCCCAACAAGTGAATGCACCATCACAAAACTTTCAGTGATAATGCTAATCATATACAGACCTCACAGTGTCTTCAAAAGCATGGACAAATTCTAATGCGGGGCCCAGACTGTATCCCTACGCAACCTGTTCTTCTCTTGTGCGTTCTTTCTCCATTACTTCCCACTTCCTTCCAAAGGACAAGTCCTTTACAAAATGTAAACAATTTCATAACCTCTTTACCATTGTCAACAGATTAAGATTCTGTGGATTAAAAACGTACCCAATAATAATCTAATGATAAACCGTGTGCAATTAGACTCACAAACTTGCCTAAAGTGCTCTTTGGCTGACAACAACAGCAACTTGCATTTATCTAGCGCTTTCCGGGGCAGCGTCTCGGAAGGCTTGACATCCGCAATAGAACCCTATATTGTTCAATTGAATCCTTTTGCTTTTAAGAGCATGCTGTTAGTGCCAGAGGCTTAAAGGATACTGCTTCAATTATTATCAATTGCTGTTCCATTCATCTAATCTCTTTTTCGAGGCTTTGCTTCCTGAAAAAGAAAAAATTACTTGACCTCCAAAGAAGGCTTTCACTGCTTTCCAGAGAATTACTGCAGGGATCAGTTCATTGTCACTTGTTCATGACAGTGACAGAAGGTATTGTATCAGACCTTAGATCACTATTATGCAGCTGTGTGGCGTAGTTACAATTTTTTTTAAGAAAAACTAACTCAGATCAAAACTCTCAGATTCTATTCTGCAGTATAAAACCAATCACAGTATTGGACTTATGCCCAATTTCAAGTTCAGATAAAAAGCTGCATAGCTCTTAAATCTTTTTAAATTTAAATGATGCTTTAATCTGTGCATCTGTTTGACATTTGTATTTTACCTCCCATTTAGGCAGATAACAAATGCATTGATATTGAACAGATAAATGTGTTACCCAAGATTATAAACTTATCTCTTGACACAGCTTTGACCATACTTCTCATTAGGGATTTGGCTTGCAGAGTTAACAGGAGCAAGGACTATTATTATTCTACAACTGACGGTGATTTCTGACAGTACTGAAGATAATTTCACACAGAAAATAAGCTTTTTCTTTATTTTGATTATTCTGGGAACAATATATTTTTAGTACTTTCAAGTAGCCCTAAGCAGTAGGTTAAATATTTATTCTCTGCTTGATGTTTGGCTTAGATACTGCTGATCACGTGGTGTTCCATTGGATGGCTCTGTTGTGTAAGAGAATACGATACAATTTACATTTACAATTTACATCTTTCATGTTGGGAGGATGTCTCAGCTGGGCACTTGAGCTGGTGATTGGAGCTGGGGGTGACTGAAAGCACAGTGAAAGAGGTTTTGAGACGTACCTTGAAAGAGGGGAAGAAATTAGTTTGAGGGACTTTAGGATGGAGTTCTAGAGAGTGGGGGAAGAATTGCTGAAAGCCTGCTTACCAATGGTATGGGGGAGAATAAAGTGGGGTATGAAGTAGGCTGGTGTCCATTGAGTGAAGGGAGCATCTGAGTTGGTCTGGTTGAAGGAGTTTGTAGAGTTAGCATAGGGCACTACTGTGGAGTGATTTGAACATCATAACAAGGGGGTAGGAGGAACGAGTGGAGTCCTGGTGGAGAATCATATAGTGAATCGTTTGCAGTTATCTGCAGAACCTCTGAGGTAAAATTCCACCCGAATCATAGTTAACATTTCGGAATGTCTAGAACTTTGCAAATTGTTGAATTAAGTCTAAACTTTGAAGCTATTTTTCTGTATTCTTGAAAAGATCTCATACAAAAAAGCTTCAAAATACAGTCACTCCACTGCACAGTATATTCTGTGAAGCGCTTTGGGATGTCCTTTTGAGGGGAAAGGCACTGTACCAGATGATGATTATATCATTAAAAGATATGTCGGATCACTGCGTAAGATGACAAGAGAAACAAGACGACAACTCCTCTGATGCTCGCTTGGTGGCACACATGTGGAGAAGCGCTGTGCCTTGGAGCAGCGGATTGACTACATCTCCCATGATCTTCGCTTTGAGGGGGATGTAAACAGGGTCTCCTTGGGGCTGACCTGGCTCCAAGGTGACATGCCTGGCAACGGAATGTCAGATTCAAGCCAGCCCGCTCTGGCGGTCTCAGTAGTCCGGTTCCTGAGCCAAGCTGGTTTGCAGTATTCCAGGGCACTGCTGATGACAGCACAGCCAGCCTGGCTCATCGGCAGGACCTGGAAGGACAGGTAGTCATTCCACTCAGCTCCTGTTAACTCCGCAGGCCAAAGCCTTAACAGGTCGGGTGGTCTTAGCTGGACAAGCAGTGGGAAGGCTTCCCGGATAGCGATATCAATGGCAAACTATGAAGGTTTAGCTGGTTAGATTCCAGCAGTTACCCCAACTTATACTCTGGGGTCCCCAAGCCTTGGCTGTTGCCAACCTGCGCCTAATACTTTCCGGAAATAGGTAAGCAGGATGTGTCCCTCCAGGGAGAGAGTGCACATTCCATTCCAGCAATCTTTCTCTGGGATTTCCATGTGGAGGTGGGACGCATGGAATTCTTAGTTTGATTTGGATTCCCTGAAGCATGGTGATGGGTTTCCACATGTGTCAGACAACCCGGCTGACCAAAAAAAAAAACATGTGAAGCGCTTTGGGATGGCCTCCTGACATGAAAGGCGTTGTATCAAATATAAGGATGATTCATATTGTTATCATTGGAAGGGGAGGTCAGATCATTGAGCAAGAGAAAAGGAGACCAAAGGACTACAATTCCCATGAGCCTCGCTTGGTGACGCGCATGCGGAGAAGCGCCGCGCTCTTGGAGCAGTAGTTTGACGACAACTCCCATGATTCCTACCCGCCGGGCTGGCGCGCATGCGGAGAAGCTGCCTCCTTGGTGTGACCGGCGGGTGGGCCGGTGAGGGCGCGCAGGCGCAGTGCGGGTTCGGTGGCCAACGAGCCGGGATGTGGCCGCGGCCGCTTCTCTCTGCCTTCAGGTGGGTCGGCGGCGGCGGCCGATGTCGTCGTGTGAAATCTTCCAGGAATGTCTGCACCTCGTGGTCTCAGGTGGCCGCGGCCTTCAATGCCAAACCGAGCAGGAGGGCGGATTTGTCCGGGAAGAATGTGGTGAGTGGCTGATGGCGCACCCCCTCCCCCCAGAGAGAGAGCCACACCCCCCCCAGAGAGACCGCCCCCCCCAGAGAGACCGCCCCCCCCCCAGAGAGAGCGCCCCCCCCCCAGAGAGAGCGCCCCCGCCAGAGAGAGCGCCCCCCCCCCAGAGAGAGCGCCCCCCCCCCAGAGAGAGCGCCCCCCCCCCAGAGAGACCGCCCCCCCCCAGAGAGACCGCCCCCCCCCAGAGAGACCGCCCCCCCAGAGAGACCGCCCCACCCCCCAGAGAGACGCCCCACCCCCAGAGAGACGCCCCCCCCCACAGAGAGACCGCCCCCCCCAGGGAGAGCGCCCCCCCCTCAGAGAGAGCGCCCCCCCCCCAGAGTGAGCGCCCCCCTTCAGAGTGAGCGCTCCCCCCAGAGTGAGCGCTCCCCCCCAGAGTGAGCGCCCCCCCCCAGAGAGAGCGCCCCCCCCCCAGAGAGACCGCCCCCCCCCAGAGAGACCGCCCCCCCCCAGAGAGACCGCCCCCCAGAGAGACCCCCCCCAGAGAGACCGCCCCCCCAGAGAGACGCCCCACCCCCAGAGAGACGCCCCACCCCAGAGAGACCGCCCACCCCCAGAGAGACCGCCCCCCCCAGGGAGAGCGCCCCCCCTCAGAGAGAGCGCCCCCCCCCCCAGAGTGAGCGCCCCCCTTCAGAGTGAGCGCTCCCCCCCAGAGTGAGCGCTCCCCCCCAGAGTGAGCGCTCCCCCCAGAGAGAGCGCCCCCTCCCCAGAGAGAGCGCCCCCCCCAGAGAGAGAGCCCCCCCCCCAGAGAGACCGCCCCCCCCCCGAGAGAGCGCCCCCCCCAGAGAGACCGCCCTCCCCCAGAGAGACCGCCCCCCCCCCCCCAGAGAAAGCGCCCGCCCCAGGGAGAGCGCCCCCCCCCCCAGAGTGAGCGCCCCCCCTCAGAGTGAGCGCCCCCCCTCAGAGTGAGCGCTCCCCCCCAGAGTGAGCGCTCCTCCCCCCATAGAGAGCACCCCCCCCCCAGAGAGAGCGCCCCCCCCCCCAGAGAGAGCGCCCCCCCCCCAGAGTGAGCGCCCCCCCCCAGAGTGAGCGTCCCCCCCCAGAGTGAGCGTCCCCCCCCAGAGTGAGCGTCCCCCCCAGAGTGAGCGTCCCCCCCCAGAGAGAGCGCTCCCCCCAGAGAGAGCGCCCCCCCCCAGAGAGAGAGCCCCCCCCCGAGAGACCGCCCCCAGAGAGAGCGCCCCCCCCAGAGAGAGCGCCCCCCCCAGAGAGAGAGCCCCCCCAGAGAGAGAGCCCCCCCAGAGAGAGCGCCCCCCCAGAGAGAGCGCCCCCCCCGCCAGAGAGAGCGATCCCCCCACCCCCCCCCCCCAGAGAGCGCGACGGGAATGTGCACTCTCTCCCTTAAGCAGCTAACTCTGCATAGCTTGCCTTTATATCGCCGCCTGGCAAGCTTTTCCACTGCCTGTCCAAGCTCGGACCACCCTACCTGTTAGGACTTTGAGGAGGAGGAGCAAGAGCAGCAGCAGCAAGCGCCTCCCCCCCGAGAGAGAGAGTGACCCCCCCCCCCCCTCCCCCCGAGAGAGCAGCAGCGTGCGCCTTTTCACGTCAGGAGGATGTCCCAAGGCGCTCCACAGTGTACACCATTTGAGACCCGAACTGGGGTCAGAGGGGGAGAAGGGAGGGTAAGAGATGGCATGGTCGAAGAGGAGGGTTTTGAGGCGAAACTTGAAGGAGGCTAAGGAGGGGGTGAGGCGGAGTGATTGGGGGATAGAATTCCAGAGGTTGGGGACAAAGTGGCTGAAGGCTCTCCCGCCAATGGTGGGGCGCGTGGGTCGGGAGGGTTAGCAGGAGGTGAGTGGGCTGACTCCCTGCCCCCAGTGACTGGTCTGCCCTGGCAGGTCCCGCCGATGAGCCAGGGCTGTTCTGTCATCAACAGTGCCCTGGAATACTGGCTCAGGAACTGAATTACCAAGACCCCCACAGAGAGCTCATATACACATTCGTAACATCCAGCCTCAAACTCCCTGCTTGTCGGCTTCCCCAACTCCTCCCTTCAGAGGCTGCAGATCATCCAGAACTCTGCAGCCTGTGTCCCCTCCCGCACCAGGCTTTGTGACCCTCTCACTCCCATCCTCGCCCGATTCCACTGGTTTCCCATCACACAGAGGATACAGTTCAAAATCCTGGTCCTCACCTTCAAAGCTCTTTGTGGCCTTGCTCCGCTCTACCTCTGTGACCTCCTAACTCCCTACCAACCTGCCCGCTCCCTCCGCTCAGCAGGCTCCGGCCTGCCTCACCTTCCCCACCTCACCATTGACAGTTGACAGTTGCCCCCGCCCTCTGGAACTCCATGCCGCAATCCCTCCGCCCCGCCACCCTTGCCTTCTTTAAGACCCATCTCAAGACCCTCCTCTTCAATCGTGCCTTTGATCACCCTGCTTTCCCCCCCTGCACTCCACCCTTCCCGATTCTGACCCCCAGCTCAGTTCCAAAGCACTGACCGTCCTGCGCCTTGGGATGTCCTCCCGATGTGAAAGACGCTATACAAATGTAATTTTATTGTTGTTGTTGTGAGGGGATGTGGAGCTTCAGCAGTTATTCACTTTTCTGCATGTACAGTGGAAGTTTGAATCAGGTGCCTTTTAACTCCGTTATAAATGTTAAGACTAAAGTATCAAGCAAGCAGTAGTGACGAAAAACATTGGGAGCGTTGATGACATTTGCTGAGGATGGCTTTTTCAATCTTGATATTTCTTATGATGTGAATTCACATACAAGATTTCAGATTGTACTTTGTCAGAGCCTGGGAAAGGACTGCAGAATAGGGCTGAAAAGCTAAGCCAACCTGGTACTGAGTTCACATTTTGTATTGTTTTTGTTAAGGGGCTATTTGGTGTTTCTGAGCTGAGCACCCCAGCAGGGTTTCAGGTGGTACAAGAAAAGGCATTGAAAGAAACTGAAGAGCTGGTGGAGCAAGCATGTGTCACACCACCTGGTCCTCAGACCGTAAAGATTTTCGACAAACTTTCTGACAGCCTTTGCAGGGTTGCTGATTTGGTAAGCAATAAAAATATTTTATTGTTGATAGTGCCTCTAGTATATTCATAATTTGAAATAATTATTTGTGACTCTCCTTTCGTCAAAACTTGCTGTGCTGATTTAATGAAGTCAGGAAACATCGCAATCTCTAGAGTGAAAAATATGATCAACTGGGAGGAAAGCTGGATGTTGGAAGGTTATCTTTTCTTTGGTAAAAGATTTTTTTTCTGAAATCAGAAGAAATAGCAAATGTGCTTTGTAAAGTAACTAATTCATTTGCAACAGGTAATCAATGCAATTAGCATTGATAATGCTAATATACGGTAAGGTTTTATAACTCATTTTACTGTTAATTCTTTTTAATTGGGGGTTGGATAGAGAAGCTAATGATATAGCAATTCAAAATAAAATACAGCAGAATGTTTGCAGACTTCATAGAGGAGAACCTCATGACACATTCGTCTGGGCCCAATAGCTTAGAGACTGTCAAAAGCGCTTAAAAATGCCAATATTCAGGTTGTTGCCGATGTCACTTTTTTCTTGAGGTAACATGAGTGGTGCTTCCATAGTGCAAGCTAAGTGGTGATAGCAATGCTTCCTGATTTCTCACATATATAAGGGTGACACCCAAATCCATTTTTCCTCCTTGTTCATGACCCAAGTTCTATCAATGTTCTGACTGCCTGTTTGTCTAACATCAAGGTCTGGGTGGACACCAACTTTCTGCTGCTAAACATGGACAAGACTGAAGCCATCCTCCCTCGCTCCTTTCAACATATTCTCACCTGTTGTTATCAACTCCTAAACCCTCCCTGCCTATCCCTCAGACTTGCCGGACCTATACTCAACCTTGGTGTCAAGTTTGATTCCCATTTATCGTCCATTTATCGGCTCTGGCCTCCTGCACATCCCTTGTTCCTTTTGCTCCACCATCAGTGGCCTCGCTTTCAGCCACTGTGCCCTGAAGCATTGAACTCTCCCTCAATCCCGTCATCTTGCTTCCTCCTTCCACTCAGCTTTAGGCTTCATCATTATTAAGCTCTTCGGGATACTGCCCCGTGTGCAGTGCTCTATATAAATGCAAGTTGTTCATCCTGCAAGCCATTAAATCCCTAATGGTGCTATGTAAATGTAAATTTATATTGTATTATACCATTATTGCAATGAATGCTTTCAGAATTTGATATTAGTCATTAGTTCCCAATTATTCATTTGATCTTCACAATTATCAGTAGGTTTATTGAGTTAGGCTAGTGTAGAATACAGTATTAACCAGTATTCACCCTTATAGGCTACTTACTCCATCACCGAAGTTACTGATGCATTACTTTATGATTTCACTTTTATTTTCTGCCCAATTTTTATCTGCAATAAGGTAGCATACTCACCAACCAAAAAGATTACTCTTGAGAATACTACCCATTGCTACCTGTTATCAAATATGGTGTGTTTTGTTATATGAGCTTTTTTCTTTTAGTTGGACATAGATTTTATCACAAATTGGGAAGGAAGGGAAGAGTTAAGATTTAGTGTGCAGTTTTTAAATGTTTAAACTTTTTTCAGTATTTTAAAACTTTTTTCCTGCGTCCATTCCTTTGGCATCCTCCACATGTTGTTGGGTTCTGACATCGGTAAGTATATCTCAAACAGTCAGTAATCACAAAGTGATCTATCCAGGTTATTGTGACTGTACCAGCAGTGTGCCTTTACTACAAGAATTGGGTACAATAGGCAGATTTGGAACACAAAAAACACAAACATTTTGGTTGGAGTCTTTGACCTGGCTCTTGACCAGATGAAAGACATCATTGCTGGAGCCTGAATGCTTTGCCCTGTTTTGCTTTCATCAGTGTAGATTGATGCATTATAGTGCTTGCATTTGATAAAGTGCTTTTCATGTCTTCGAGAAGTCTCAAAGCGCTTCACAGTAAAGTGAATTGACTGTGTATTTTGTGGGCGAAACACAGCAGCCAATTGCGCACAGCAGTGTCCCACAAACAATCGTGGATTCAATGACCAAATTATTATTGTTTTTTTGAGCGATTATTATCAGCCTTGTGGAGCAAGGAAACCTGCCCAAGGTTTCGCCCTGCCAGGAATGAAACCCAAGTCTCTTGCTTGTGAGGCAAGTGCTCTAACCACTGAGCTACTACATTAGCTCGATTCTTATGTTGGCTGCTCCAGAAAGCATCAGTCAGAAAGTTCCTGATGTGGAGTGTTAGGGAGAGGGGTGGGGGGAGAGGGCATTCAAAGTGCCAATTGATGCCAGTGATTGAAGGGTTTCCTCAAATGTGGTAAAGTAATCTTGGTGCCCCCTGTGCCAGGATTATTGTTGTCATGTTCAGTTAGCACTTCAGTTCAAATACCTTGCCGCCTGGGTGGTGCTGTTCTATGATGTAGGAGTTAGGAGGATTATTGTCTGACAATGACCAGACAGCATGTCTTAAAGGAAGCAGCAGAAGTGATCTTATTTGTTTTCTTCCCCTGGCTGAAATGGGCTTACTGATGCCAGACCCTACTGGTGTGTGGAGGATGCTCATCAATGGAAGAAAACCTTATAAAGTAGGTAATTTTCCCTTTCATGGTCTGGTCCTTATTCTACTATTTCTAAATGTTTTAGTTCATGAATTTACATCTAGGTAAACTGGCTGAACATTGGAATTGAAACTGATTAGTTCCGAGTTTGAATTCTGAAAATGGTTTAATTCAGTCATTCATGCTTTTGAAGTCAATAAGGTGTGTATGTAAAATAGCTTGTGCTCCTGGGGCTGAACTGGCAAAGCCAATAATCCAATGAGAACCTTAAAGGCAAAGCTGTAATAGTTTGGTTGTTCTCAGCTGGATTTAGACTGCTCTGTGGTTGAAACTGTTTTTCTAGTGCATTGTGTTTCTACCGTTCTCCTCCAGCCCAGGCACCTCATCAGTTGTGAGAAGCCCTTTGAGATGTCCTCTGATGTGACGGATGCTATATAAATTGTTGTATATGCACAGGTCTGAGGGTGAAGTAGTATCTTTGAATAATTTTCTTCCTGTGGTTGGACATGCTATCATTTAATAATTGTAAGCCATTTGGAACAGCAACATGGGGCACATGATGTACCTATGGAATGTGGAATAGGAATTATTCATGTTTGATCATAAGTTAGTATCATTACCTTAGTACTTATTACTGTTGTTTTTGATACCAGGCAGATTTTGTAAAGGTAGCACACCCAGATCCTGCATTCCGACACGCTGCGGAGGACACCTGCATGACCATCGGCACAATGGTAGAGAAGTATGTGTTTTTATGAACTGATAGCAGAAATATATCAGTGTTTTTTCTGTAAACTTTGTGCGTAAAAGAGCCGTTATGTAACTGCCGAAGTCATAGAAAATTTTTACGTTTTCTCAACTCCATATCTGTATGTATTCTTAATAACTGTTTGTTGAATTGAAATTAATGCCTTCATGTTTTTATATTGTATAAACACATTTTAATTTTGTATTGTGGCACTTTACTCATACTCTAGTTCTATTGCTCTCTAGGTTGAACACTAATATTGAACTCTGTACAAGTCTGAAACATTTATTGGATAATAAAGAAATCATGGATTCCCTGGATCCAGAAACCAGGTATTCTTTGAAGGGGCTCTTCTTCCTTCTTTCCACCTGGAATCACTGAGCAAGATTGTTGAAGTATTTGTCAGGGTTGTGAGAAGACCAACATGTCCTGGAAGGTGTTATCTGAAATACTGCCTTTTTAATTACACACTTTTTTTTCTTTATTCAAATAAAAGAAAAGCTTTAGTTTATCGTCACCCAGGCAAAATCTAGAGGGATGAGGCAGAAACTGAGAGGAACATTGATAATGCTGAGCATTCAGGGAGTCAACTTTTCTTGTAAAAATGATTATTATCCAGAAACCAAGTAATAAGGATAATAATGGTAAGAATGGTATGAATGATAATAATATCATTCAGCCTATTAAGGCTGCTTTGTGAGGTTATGTATAGCCTGTATTATTGTGGACTCTTGTTAAGTCTCCTGAAAATTCAGAAATCCTTCCTGACGTGCAAAATAGATCTATCCTTACATAGTTCTATCATTCAGCATGTGTCCTTAATCAGATGAAATGTTAAACTGAGGTCCCATCTGCCTAATCAGGGGGACATTAAAGATCCCATGGCACTATTAGCAAAGAGAGGTTGTCTTGGCCACCAATTCCTCCAAATAAAAAAAAATGTTAATTCATTTCATGATTGTGGGACATTGCTTTACATGAATGGGCTGCCACGATAGCCTATAAATACATAACCACTTCACAGTAAATCCTGTGAAGCGCTTTGGCATATCCTCCCAATGTGTATTATTGTTATTATATTATTAATAGACTTAAACTACACTTTCTGTTCAATATTATTATTATTTTTCCCCTCTCCACAACTCAATTTCCAGCCCAGCCAGCATGGTAAAGTGCTTTGAGGCATCCTCCCAACATGAAAGGCACTATGTATGTGTAAATTGTATTGTAAGGAATTGAGGGTTTCAAAGAGAACTGGGGACAAATTAATGTGCAAACAAAAATCTTATGTAAATATGGTTTCACTATGATGAGGGAGTCTGTTTGGTAGAAGTCTTGGTGGTTGCTGCTATTTTATAAGCTTTCCCTTTGTCCATTGTAGGGTTTTGAACGAGGCTATATCATGTCATTATTATTCCTGAGATTTGTGGAGGTGTTGGTAATTGTAGTGAAAATCATAATTGATGCTGATGTGCAGGTTTCCTGCCTCATTTAACAGATTAAAAAAAACTAAAAAGGTGTGACTTGCATCTGATGTAGTTCTATGTTGAATGGACAGTTTCGAACGGACAATCTTTTATCCGATCTAAAAAGGACAAAAAGAAATTGAACTTGTGAAAATGTTGAACCCCTGTGTGTCAGTAACTGGATAGATACTTATCAGTTTTAACTTGAGTATTTGAGATTTGAAAATGTAATCACTAAAGATTTTGCAAAAAATGAAGTCCCAATGGATGGCAGCACTGTGTAAATGTTGTGTTTCCATATTTCAGGAGAGTGGCGGAGCTCTTCATGTTTGACTTTGAGATCAGTGGAATTCATTTGGATGAGGAAAAGGTAACTATTAATACTCTATATGTCTCCATGTTTCATTTGGTTTACTTTAGAGGTGGTGTTGGACTGCACATTTATTTGGTGCTAATCATTAAGAAAATGCTGTAAGTAAAATGTTCTGTGTTTTTATTCTTTTCTCTTAATATAGCTTTGTAAATCCAGCATTAGAAATCTATTAATTCAGCACTCACCTCTGGGTTAGAAGATTGTGGGTTCAAGCCCCATTTTGAGGCTTGAGCTCAAGTCTAGCTCTAAGTTGCGTATTCCAGTGGACACTATTAGAAAAGAGAAGGGAATTTCTCCCTTCGACCAGGTCAACAATCCTCCGATCAATTGGTCGAACATTCACCTTATTAGTTGTTTGCGTAATCTTATTAAGTACAAATTGCCTGCAGGTTGTCAATACACTTTACAGCAATTCATTTTGAGGTTTTGAGACGCTTCATATATTATAAGTGCTATATAAAAGGCAATGCCATAAATATTAAACATTGATTCAGTGCTTTTTCAATTGCCTTAATACTCCTAAGCATTTCATGGTTCATACAAAGAAGAGTATCTGATGTATGTACTGTCAAGTGGGAGTTTGCTTGGTTCACAAAAATGCTCTTTATCATTCTCTAGGAGATGTATTGCAACATGACAATTCTAGGTACTCGCATACATATTGAAAGGACATTTCTTCGACATCCTCTTTTGTCTGAACTACTCAGTTAATGACTGGAAGAGAAGAGTTTCGGAAAGGAGAATACTTGCAAATTTTACAGTAGATTTGACATGGGAATAGAAATAATCCTTGCTTTTGATATGGTGTTATATTGAAACATCTTAAAATGCTTTACAGTAAATTGTGTATTGTGACTAAATATTTGAACACAGCAGCCAGTTGACAAAACAATGTCCCACAAACAGCCAGGAGGTGAATGACCATTTTAACTGTAGGATTGTTGCTCAGGACACTGGGAGAAACTCCTCTTCTCAAATAGTGTTGTGAATTATTTAATGTTCATTTGAAAAGGCAGACAGAACAGTAGCATCTCATCCAGAGAACAGCATCACCAACAATGCACCACTCTCCAACACTTCACTGAAGTTTTTGTACCTGGATCATGAGCACAAAGCCCCTGATTAAGCAGGATTTGAATCCACAATCTTCCAATTTAATGAGGAAGCTGTAGGTGTGTTTCAGATGTAATTAGTGGGAGGTAATTTTGTTTTTTGTTCATCTCATTCATAAATTTCACTTGATGCTGTGGGATTTTTGGAGGAGAACTGTTAGCTACCTCCCTGTCTGCTGTTTATGCTTCTTCGCCAATGCATGACCAATGATGAAACGTTTGGCCTCTAATTCTGCTTTGCTTGTTTTCAAAGAGCCTATCTGCCATTCCCCCACGTATACTGTTATTGTTTTTGCAGCGAAAAAGGGTGGTACAACTTAATGTTCAACTGCTGGACTTGAACAATGATTTCCTCTTAGGCACTAATCTCCCCAACAAAATTGCCAAGAAGTCTATGCTAGAAAACCTCACTCACTGGTTCTCGATGTCAGGGGATTACATTTATGTCAATGGACTTCACGCGGACTCACCTGATGATTTGGTAGGCATCTTACACAATGAACACACTAACCACCATTTGGGGTACATGCTTTCTCTTGTATATGTGATATGCTAGTAATTTAATTTCTTAATGAACTTCTCTGGTTTAATTCTTTTTCTCCAGTGGGATCCTGTAATTACAGCTGACATTTTAAAGATTCCTTTTAGTAGCACAATAAAAAAACATGATCTAGAAATAATAATCTAATAATACTTACATTTAAGTATTCTAACCGCATGAAGGGTGCTTTATAAATGGCAGTTGTTGTACACTTGATATAGTGGCTTTCACTCTATCAGGAGGGCTTCTCAAAGCGCTTCACAGGATATACCTCAAAGTGTGTATTTTCTAGGCAAACAGAAGCCAATTAGCACACAACAGTCAGGTGTGGGTATTACTTTATTTTCACTTTTCTGATGAAAAATGCATCCATTCTATGTTCTTTTTGTAGCATAGGAGAGGGAGGGCTGCTAAATATGATGGAGCTGTGAAATGGATTATTTTAACATATTCCTTAGATTTCAAATTTGTACTTGTATTTGATTTTACTAGAGCAGTTTTAGCATAAAGTTGAAGACTTAGTTGAGGAAGGGCAGGCGGAGGAGCGTAAACACCGGCATAGACCAGTTGGGCCGAATGGCCTGTTTTTGCACTGTATATTCTAATTCCATTGTGTGTCTTTACTCAGTCTTCTGGTCTCTTCCTGCTGCACTTTTCCCACCCTCCTACCCCACCATTGGTGCTGAGCTTGTCAGCAACTCCACCCTTTACAAGTCCCTCCCTCTACCTCTCTGTCTTGTCCCCTCTCTCACTGTCATTAAATCTCACCTAAACCTACCTCTTCAACTGTTAATCTCCCCCTCCCTATTCTCTGCTTCACATCCAAACACTGTTCCTGTGAAGCACTATAAAAACATAAGTTATTTTGTTCATTTGTGAGAAATAATTGCATTTTCTAATGTTAATCATAGAATTATACAGCGCAGAAGGAGGCCATTCAGCCCATCGTGTCTGTGCCTAAAGATAGCTTTTAAGAGCTATCCAAATCAATTCCACTCCTCCGCGCTCTCCTCATAGCCCTGCAAACTTGTCCTCCCCAATGCTACCGAACACCTACCTGCATGTGCTTGTTTTGCTATAAATTGGTTTGCTGCTTGTGGTACTTTGATCAACTTGTTTATTGCACTAAATAGAAACAAATTGAACATTTAGACCACAGACATTCTCATAAATAAGAACTAATTGAAATCAGAAAACGTATTTTCTTTGCAGTTCTCATTACTTATACAACCCAATCTATCAAGTGTGCTGATGCTGTTTGGAAGGTATCAATTCCCTATACTGGATACAAATCAAATGCATTTGCCCCCCAGTTGGGGAAGTTCATCTATTTTCAACTGGATGCTTAGATTGATTGCTGTAGAAGACTGGTAATCCACATATGTGGAAGGGAATAAAGGGAAAGTTGCATCTTGCCTGACAGCAGATTGATCCAGTGAGGTTTGTGGAGTTTCTAGCCTGCTCTGCCTTCTAATTCCCAAGTAATGCATTCGATAATAAAGTATTGCAAGGTGTCACTCTGGCTTGGTTAGCAGCAGTCTTGCCTCTAAGTCAGAAGATTAAGGGTTCAAGCCAAATGTAGCGACTTTGAGCTCACAGTTTAGGCTGATACTCCAATGCAAAGCTGGGGGTGAATTCCATTGTCGGAAACACTGTCCTTCGGATGAGCCATTAAACTGAGGACCCATCTGTCTGTTCAGATGGCCAATAATGACACGAGCCAACAATCCCCCATTCATTTCATGGCTGTTTGTGGGACATTGCTGTGTGCAAATTGGTTAATGTTTGCTAACAAAATGCACAGTTGCTACATTTTATAGTAAAGGCTGCGAAGTGCTTTGAGACATTTTGACAATGTGATGAAGTGTTGTATCAAAACTAAGGATTATTATTATAGTTGTTTATTCAAAGAGCCAGCATAGACATGATTGACCAAATGATTTTTCTTTTGTGCTGGAAATTTCTATTGTTATACATTTTATAGAATATAATAGCAGAACAAAGGTATCCATTTTAAAGCCAATGGGATCTATAACCTAATATCTTGTTTTAATAATGTAAAATTATTACTATTTTAATAATCAGTGCAAAACCCCATTATGAAAACCCAGTTTTGGCGATCAGAAAAAGTAGACTCCAATGATAATTTTTCATAACCCTTACATTTTGATATAGTGCCTTAGATTGTTATTATTATGATTTCATGTCAGGAAGAGGACCAAGGTTCAATTGTCGGGTGTGGCGAAACCTTAGGCAAGTTTCTTACTTCACACACTCAGTTTACCTAGCAGTAAGTAGGAACTCAGTGGTTAGTCGATTGGCAGATGGCTTTCTAGGTGTAATAATCCCTCAAAAAAAATTTGGTCACTCAATTCACGACTGTTTGTGGGACACTGGTGTGCGCAATTGGCTTCCTTGTTTCGCTAACAAAATACACAGTGAATCCACTTTACAGTATATTCTGTGAAGCATATTATGATGTGTCAATGATGTGGTAAAGTGCTATATCAAATGCAAAGCTGATCATTATTAATGGAAATACCTGAGCGCTTCACAGGATATACTGTAAAGTGGAGTAACTTTGTATTTTTTGGGTGAATATGGCAATCTATTGAGTCAAATTGAAGAAAGTAGGAAGGATTGAGTGGGTTGTATCCTTTTTTGTAATTTTTAAAAAAAACGACATTCTGATATATTAGAACTGGCAAACCTCATCGAATCAGTTTATCAAATCTGTAACTGTTTGGATATGATAGTATTAGTTTGACCTGAAAATTATTTTTTGAATGTAAAACACATTGGTTTAATTCTTCTATATTTAACCTGTAGGTGCGAGAAGCTGCCTATAAAATCTTCTTGTACCCAAACCCTGAGCAGCTGCATTGTTTGGACCAGCTTTTGGCTTGCAGGAACCAATTGGCGCACCTAGTTGGCTATGAAAGCTTTGCACACAGAGCCTTACGAGGTACAATGGCAAAGGATCCAGGTAATGCATAAAGTTACATCAAGTGATATAGCACAGAAATAGGCATTCAACCCAACTTGTCCTAACCACAAAAGCTCACTCTTCACCATCCCTTCTATTCCCCCCTCTATTTTCTCCCTTGTGTATCAAGTTTTCTCTTAAATACATTGAGTTCCACATTCTTACCACCCTCTGCACGAAGCATCTCCTCCTAAATTCCCTATTAGATCTACTACCAGCCATCTTGTATCTATGCTATCTAGTTTTGGGCGCACCAACAAGTGGAAACAACCTATCAATGGAGTCATTCAAGTGGAAAATGGTTATGTACTTGAGTAAAAACATGAAGGCATATGAGAAAGAGTTGGAAAGCGGATGAATAAAAAAGGGAGTGAATTAAAACAGCTATTTTAGTTGTCCTGGCCAACAATCCGCCCAAATAAAATTGGTACTTCACTTTATGGAGTTTGTGTAACAATGTTGGGTATATTTTGTTTGCCCACAAAACAGTCACTGCTTTACAGTATATTCTGTGATGCACTTTGAGACGTCCTCCCAATGTGGAGGTACTATACCAAATGCAAGGATTATTGCTATTATTATATCAACATCCAAGTTATCGAATCCTTTCATAATACAACAATTGAATATAAATTTACATTACATAGTGCCTTACACATTGGGAGGACATCCCCAATGCTTACAATTTTGACCATCAATCCCACCCTCGCCCGACTCCACTGGCTCCCCATCCCCCAGAGGATTGAGTTCAAGATCCTTGTCCTCATCTTTAAGGCCATCCATGGTCTTACCCCCTCCTATCTCTGACCTGCTGACTCCCTACCAACCTGCCCGCTCCCTCTGTTCAGCGAGCTCTGGCCTGCTCCATGTCTCCCGCCCGACCCGCCCTACCATTGGTGGCCGAGCTTTCAGCCTCTCTGCCCCCACACTCTGGAACTCCATCCCACGGTCCCTTCGCCTCACTTCCTCCCTCGCCTCCTTCAAGGCCGGTCTCAAGTCCCTTTTCTTCGACCGTGCCTTTGGTCTCCCTCCCACCTCTCTGTCTACCCTCACCCCTACATCACCCCTCCCCCATGCTCGGGCCCCAACGCCTGACTGTTTAGCGCTATGGGACATCCTCCCAACGTGAAAGGCTCTCTATAAATGTAATTTTGTTACATATATATAATACACACACACAGATTTACTAAAGCAACCTGGATGTCTCATTTGCTTGGGTCTTATTTTTTTCAGAAACCGTGATGTATTTCCTGACAAAATTATCAGAAAGGCTGTCTGATAGGTTGGTATTGTACATGCTGGAACTTTCATTTGTGCAACTGGTCAAAGTTCAAGCAAAACACTCCATGTTGATCAGTTGATTCCTGTAGCTCAGTGGTTAGAGCACTTGCCTTGCAAATGAGAGACCTGGGTTCTGTTCCCGGCAGGGCGAAATGTTGGGCAAGTTTCCTTACCGCACACGCCTGTGTTTACCTAGCAATAAGTAGGAACCCGGTTGTTAGTTGATTGACAGATCACTTTTCTGGGGATAATAATCCCTTAAAAAAAATTGGTCACTCAATCCACGACTGTTTGTGGGACACTGTTGTGCACAATTCACCCACAAATATACAGTCAATTCACTTTATATTCATGTTCTGTGAAGCGCTTTGAGGTTTCTGGAAGATGTGAAAAGCGCTATATCAAATGCAAGGATTATTATTATTATCAATGGAATAATGCTTGTTTTCTTCTGTGTACTTGTCACATAGTGGCTGGCCTGCTCATAGCTTTTATCTTTTTTGTTTCCATAACTGAAATGTGCCATATCTTTCGTTAAAATTAGCTCCTTTCTTTGCTGTTCATAGGCTCTGGAAATTGAGGTTATTGGGAGTTATAGCTGTGTAGAGAAATACTGGATATCCAGAAATATTTAGAATATAGTAGAAAACCTAATTATCGGACAAATTGGCACCAACAGCATGGATTAAAGCATATTGTGCAGTGTTAAATACTGCTAAATTCTAAATATCATCTTCCACCAGGAATAATAATAATCCTAGAATTTGATATAGCGCTTTTTACGTCTTCTAGACATCTCAAGGCGCTTCACAGAATATACTGTAAAGTGAATTGACTGTATATTTGTGGGCAAAAAGCAGCATCCAATTGCGCACAGCAGTGTCCTGCAAACAGTCGTGGATTGAAGTGACCAATTCTTTTTGAGGGAGTATTATCAGGCGTGTGGAGTAAGGAAACTTGCTTAAGGTTTCACCCTGCTGGGAATCAAACCCAGGTCTCTCGCTTATGAGGCGAGTGGTCTCACCACTGAGCTACAGGACTCCACTATACCATCACCACAGTGTGCAGGCAAGTTAGTGGTTCTCCGGCTGTCTCTGACAGGTCTTCCCACACAGTGGGAAGTCTCATCCCCCTAAACAGTGACACTGTTTCTGATCCTGTACTTATCTTTAGATTTGATCTCCCATCTTGCGCTGCTATTTGAAAATTAGGAAAAATGGGTACATGGGGAAAGTTTCTGGTAACATCACACTTCAGTAACTTGTATACGTGCACAATACAAACTTTCAGCAAAGATTGCACTCAGAGTTCACTTGATGCAGATAAATGGCCATTTGGATAGTGGTAGTTTGTGGTTAAGTGCAGAACTGATAAAGTTCCACTTGGTGGTAGTGCTGAGCCAGGATTGTGACATCTCCTTAAATAGCCTGAGTTTCAAGCACATTAGTGCTTCGCTAAATGAATAGTTGTAGTTTGGTTTTACAAGTAAGAATAACTTTTGGTTCACTGACCACATTATTAACAGAACTTCATTTTGCAGAACTGAAAAAGATTTTAAAATGATGGAAGAAATGAAGACAAAATTAAATCCAAGGAATTCAGTAGGTATTTTCATTCTCTGAATCAATTTTATAAATTGCTTACCTTTACTATAATCTTTCCTCTATCCACAAAAGAAAATTGTGGGATTTTTCTTTTGTAATTTTTGATAATATTCACAGTCCTCTGCTTGACCAGGGAACCTTAAATCCTTGAGGGCAGCTGGAAAGTGACAATGGTTCTATTAACAGCAGAATCATTGTTAAATTGACAAGAAATGTCAATCTTCAAGCTATAATATAATACTGGGGATGAATGGAGGAATGGTTTGTTCAGAAGGTAAATCACAGAGAAGGGAATAGTGTTTATCCATATATGTCTGGGGTACATTGAATTATTATCAACAAAATTACATTTGTAAAACGCTTTTCACGTCGGGAGGACGTCCCAGGCAATGGGAGTGATAATTCAATGACTCAATATTAAATGTTCCTTTAGCTCTCATGTCAAGAAGTCTAGCTTTCAGAAAAATATTCACCCGTAAAGTTCATGAAGGAATATTGACTGCTTAATGCACGTATTCTCACATATATAGATGCAAGCCCAAATCATTATGCAGAAAAATAGCATCAGGCTTGCTCATTTGACATTGATACAGAAAAAACAATGAGGTAACGTAACAAATTCAACAACTGATTAGAAAGGATTTCTGGGCCATTAGGGGTCTGAATCAATAAGGGTCCATTGTCCTTTTTTTAAAATTTCAGATTAAAAATCAGAAAGCAATATATGGTGAATACTAATTTAACTTTACAGAAACTGATGCCTTGGGATCACCCGTACTACAGTGGTATTCTCCGAGCAGAGAGGTAAGTAACTATAAAAGCAAATCTGCAAATATAAGACAAGTTGCAATGTACACTGACATCCATCCATCCGTGTACTATGTAAAATATGTAAAAATATGCAAAGTTTTTATACCTACAAAGTCACCTACAAGATACAGTCACTGCACTTCAAAAGTGAATCCTTTTGAAGCGCTTTGAAATGTCTCAACAGTGATAAAGTGTCAGCCTGGCGCCATTGAGTTAGGAGGTTGTGGGTTCAAGCCCCAAGTCGGAACTTGGAATCACATTATCTATGCTGACACCCCATTGCAGTCTTGGAGGTGTGTTGCGTTGTCGGAGTTGCCGTCCATTGGATGAGATGTTTAACCAAAGTCCCATCTGCCTATTCAAGATCCCATGGCACTATTCGAGAAGGGAGTTTCTCCCAGTGTGGTGTGGCCAACAAATCGCCAAATAAAATTAGTCGCTCACTCTTTCGCTGTTTGTGGGACATTGCTGTAGGCAAACTGGCTGCTATATTTCACCCACAAATTATTCACTTTAAAATATATCCTGTGAAGAGCTTTGCGTGAACTCAATGATGTGATACGGTGCTATATCAAATGCAAGTATTACTATTATGTCATTTTATAATTCACATCATGACATGAACTCGTGATCTAAGCTGACATTCCAGTGGAGTACTGAGGCAGTGCTGCATTGTTGGAGGGGCTGACCTTTTGACGACCTGTTAATCTAAATCTGTGTTGGTTTAGGTGGACGGTAAATTTCCCGTGTCTTTATTTTGAAGAACAGAGAGTTCTTCAGCCAATATTTGTCCCTCATTCAAATTCATCGAATTGTCAGTTCATCTCATTGCTGTTTACGCAGTGTTGCTGGCATGGATTAGTTGCCTACATAGTCACTAAACTTGAAAGTTATTTATATGAAGCTCTTGAAAAATATTGATGCGGTATAGTACTAAACCGAATACAACTAATAATGATTCCTATAGTCCTTACATTTGATATAGTGCCTTTCACATCAGGAGGACGTCTCAAAGCGCTTCACAGGATATACTGAAAAAGGGTAGTGACTAATTCGTGGGGAGAATGCGGCAGCTAGTTTGGGCACAACAATGTTCTACAAACTGCAAGGATGTGAATGACTAATTTTACGTGGGAGATTGTTGGGCAGGACGCCAGGAGAAACTCCCTTCTGGTTTTGAATAATGCAATGCGATCTTTAGTGCCCACCTGAACAGGCAAACAAGGCCTCAATTTTATTGTCTTACCCAAAGAATGACACCTCCAACAATCCAGCAAACTCCCAGCTCTGTGTTAGAACGTGAGCCTAGACTATACAAGTTCCAGCGTAGGGCTGGATGGAAGGCACAACCTTTTGAGTCAAGTACTGTGACTGCTACTGACTGAGCCAGGTTGACACAAACGTGTATTCATGCTGCCAAGGGGAAAGTTGAAAGAGATCAAGGGATATGAGTCACTTCGTTGCTCACTATGACAAAACTGCAATAAACAAGGCAAACAGGAAAACAGGATGCTGGGCTACATTGCTAATGATCCCTCAAAAAAATAATAAATTGATCATTTCAATCTACGACGGTTTGTGGGACACTGCTGTACGCAATTGGCTGCAGCATTTCGCCCACAAATATACGGTCAATTCACTTTACAGTCTATTCTGTGAAGCGCTTTAAGACATCTAGAAGATGTGAAAAGCGCTATATCAAATGCAAGGATTATATTATTATTAATCAGTTGATTTTAAATCCCTATATATCATACTTGGGATGTATAATGCTCTCGTCAGACCGCACCTTGAATACCTCATGCAGTTCTGGTCACGGTAGCAGAAGAGGGCTGCCCAGTCATTAGAGGTGGTGCAGAGGAGAGCAACAAGGAGGATCCCCAGTGTTAGGAGAATGCTCTATGAGCAATCATTAGACAAACTAGATGTTTTCAGTTCTGAAAAGAAAACTCAGGGTACCTTGTAGAGGTGTACAAATTTTAACTGGGATTGAAAAAGTAAATATTTTAGGATGCACTGACAGTAGAACAAGAGGACATAGGTTTGGAGTTCCAAAAGGCAAGTTCAGGACAGACATAGGAAAGGTTTTCTTTACCCAAAGGATAATTGAAGACTGGGACAGGTTGTCGGAAGGGTGGTTGGGGCCAAAACACTGGATACATCTTAATGCTATGGGGGGAGGGTGTAAGGTGGGTATTTTGCAAATATGAGATCAGGTGGGCTGAAGAGTCTTCTTCATCCAAACCAATATGGTTGATGTAACGTCTCTCGTAGGTATGGCCTGCAAGGTGAATACACACCAAATATTCACCAAGCAGCAGTGTATGCTGTAATACAGCATGTATAACCATGGCTATTGAACAACTTCACTTATAACATCTATTTCAAGCAATGTCTTGTTCCATATTTACACATTTTGTTTAACCTTTAATAATCATTCATGTAGGAATGTTGCATTCTAAATATGTTATGGATTTTATTATGATTTAATGTGACACAGTACGCTTTGGCTAAAACAATGAAAAATTGGAATACAGTACTTTCTGAATGGGGAAGTAATTAGGTGGAGTGGATGACAAAGGGATCTCTGTTCAGGGTCACAGATTACTGAAGCTCTGTGCACAGTTACAAAAAGCAGTCAAAGACTAATGGGATGTTGGCCTTTAATTTATCACAAGAGACCTGGAAACAATGTAATGTTACAGCTGTTTAATGTCCTAGTCTAACCTCACCTCATTTGGACAGGGTGTACAGTTCTGAACATCCCATCTTAGAAAAGAATTGTGGTTTTGGAGGAAATGTAGATTTACCAGAATGATACCCAGATTGATGGGGTTCAGTTATGATGACAGAATGGGGTGGTGCTTTACTCTTGATCCAAGTTCAGGGGTGAACACCGATTGAGGTGTTTTAAGATAGGAAAGGGAAGTGACAAAGTTGAAAAGGAGACGCTTTCCTATGGTTGAAGAATCCAGAACAGGAGGGCCTGATCATACTTTCAAATCTTTGTCCTGGCCATTTCTATGACGAGAGAAATGAAAGTGAGATTTTTAGTATCGTTTCCCTTTTATTCCAACTCTAGAAGTGTGACTTTCATAGAAAAGAAAAATCCTGGCCAAGATTTTTCCCGGTGACTACAAAGACAACATGGCCAGTATATTATGCAACCATTTGTAGCCATTCTAATGCTTCAAAGGTATTGAAGTAGCACCTGCTGTAAAAATACTTAAAGCCTAAAATATTCTTAACCACTTTCTATAATAAGCAAAATAAATCAAGTAGAGAATGTTTTAAAAGTGCTAAAAATGTTTGGAGGGCACGTCCTTTGCTGGATCCAAGAGTTTACCTTGTGAATATCTGTTTTCATACTGTTAGGAGTCTGACAGATATTTGGGAATGTGAATGAATTATTAGCAGAGATAGAAGTCTTATGTCTTTCCTCAGGACTAACCTCAAAGAAACTGGCAATGGATTACAAGTGATAAAATGTAAGGGTTGCAATTGATGCTATTGCCACATACAATTCTTTTTAGCAGAATTGCAGAGCGTTGCAACAGACTTTATTGTATCACTGCCATCTTTAATTAATTACATAAATGTGTTGCTAGGCAACTGAAAAAAAGTAGGCTAGGTTCAAATATAGAACATATTCAACTAATTCACTAAAATTGGCTTAACCTTTTATATAATGGGTCTACAGGCCAACAATATAATATAATTGTTGGCCTGTGATTTGAAACACAAGAATTGCTGGAAAATCAGATTCTTCATGTCCCTGATGATAATGATAATCCTTATATTTGGTATAGAGCCTTTCAAAGCACTTCACAGGATTTACTATTAAGTAGATTGACTGTGTATTTGTAGGTGAATGTGACAGCCCGTTTGCACACAGCAAATACACTAGGTATTGTTAAGGAGGGTTGGTGGAAATCGCTAGAAATTGGTAAACATTGATAGTCATTATTGTTTTGCGATGTCCTCTAATCCTCTGGGAAAAAAAATTCAGCCATTAAAAGTTTATTTTCACTGACTTATCACTTTATCAGAGTTCAAGTGGCTGACTTATGATTTGTCTGCTTGAGATAGATGTTGCTTCCCTCCACTCCTCTGCAACCTCCTACCTTTCTGACCTCCTGTCACTGCAAAACAGTGCTCGTTGCCTTTGTTCCACTGGGTCTGGCCTCCTCCTTGTCCCCCGAGTCCTCCTCTCCACCCTCGGCGGCCGTGCCTTCAGCCACTACACCCTGAGGCTCTGGAACTCCCTTCCTCACTCCCTTCGCCTCGCTCCCTCTCTTATTTTCAGGTCTCTACTGCAGACTTTTCTTTTCGACCGCGCCTTTGGTCACCTTCCTCCCCCTCCCCACTGGCTTGGCCCCGGGATCCGTTACTGTGAAGTGTTCTGAGACGCCATCCAGCGTGGAGGGCGCTATATAAATCCAAGTAGTTGTTGTTGTTGCTTCACCCCCATTATGCACAGTGTTTCTTGTGCACAGCTCTGATGTTAAGTGCAGGACGTGATGCCCTTGATGACCTGACGACCCCCAAATTGTCTATTCTTCTTTCTTGAATTAAAAGATTTTTTTTAAAAAATTGATATCTATCCATCAAATCAAAAAAAATAAAAATTGCTTTCTACCAATCCTATGTGAAAACAGACTAAATTCAAGGGCTGCTGCTATCTTACTGTATGTTATCGCAGCCCTGATGTAATACCCCCACCAAACTTACTGAACTATTTGATTTAATGGGAGCAAAAGGAAGAGTTCAGCAATTCACATAATATCTATAATCAGTCTTGCTTATACAATAATTGTTTTTAACTTGGGTCTTGGGATTAAGGAGCAGCTTTGTTCTACATTGTTAGTACAAGAAAAATGATATTGCTAAATGCACAGGAAGTTTCTGCATTTTTGCTGGATTAAGTTCTGACCTGAAAGTCTCTGTAAACCTTTCCTCATGTGAACCCTTATCCGGAATTTTTATATTGGCAATTTGCTGGATTCTTAGCTGCCATTGGTGTATGATGAGAGCTGTATAATTTTTATTTGCACATTGCTTTATTCAATGGTGAAAACAATGGTAACTGGGTACATTAACAATGTGGAATGAGCATGTATTTAGTTAGCACTTAGGGAAAGAACTTTGACCTGGTTAATTTGGAATAGTGACACTAATAGCTGTCACCATACTGACGGCAGAGGCAAGCACTGAGGCACAGTTTAAATCCAAAGCCATGATTATTATGTACAGCAACAATGCCATTGCTAGAAGTGATTGGCAAAGTAGGAGTAATGTCCATGGCTGCCTTATGACCTGGTAACCAGATATTTTTGTAGTCAAAAAAGTTGTACTCAAAAGATGGCTAAAAATAAAAAAGGTAGAATAAATATTTAAAATTGAAAGCCAGCCACCTTACCAATAAGCACATGGTGAGAGTTGGAAATCTAGATCAGGCACATTCTTATTCATTTCGGTTTTTTCATTTTGTGGCTTTTGGGTGTAACGTTAAGCTTTCTGAGACGCTACTCCGCGTGAAGAGCGCTATATAAATGCAAGGTATTGTTAAGGTAGAGACTGTCCCTCAGGTTGGTTGACTATCTCTGTAGCCTCACTTCTGACGAGATGTGCGTAATGAAGTACATATTGATAATCAGAAGTCAAATGTTCTGGTTGATCTTTAAAATACAATTGAAGTCTAGACAAAAATTAACAACTTGCATTTTCAGAGTGCCTTAACACATCAAAGTGTCTCAAAGCACTTCACACGTAATTGTTGTTCAGTATAATGAATGTTTACAAATCTGTATAAGGGGCATTGTTGATTCTTATCTGTGGATTGTGGTGGACACTAACATTTGCTTGGACCTGGACAAGAAGGGAAAGCTTGTCAGACAGTACTCTCAACGGCAAACTATGCAATTTTAGCTGGTTAATCACCAGCAGTATCCCAACACACACCTTGTAAAGCTGAATAAAGGCTCATCCAAGATTTGGCTCTTGCCAACTGAATACTCACCAAAATTAGATAAACAATGTGTATCCCTCCAGGGAGAGAGTGTGCCATCCATTCCAGACACAGGAAAATTTCCTGTATGGGCGTTTGTGACAGAGGAATAAACCTCTACACTTTGTCACTGCCTTTTATGATTATTCGCGCTCAACCTCCAATTCAGGCTTGATTGGAGTTTGTGATAATTGGGTACCAGCCCTACAGTATTTTATATACAGTATTTTATTACCCAGGATAATATAATCTTTTTTTTACTCTGTATACTGTATTGTTGGAACTTAAATATTCTTAGCAAAGAAGCTTTATCTCGTATTTCACTGAAGCTTTATCTGGTATTTCATTGTGTGCTGACTGAACGTTGCATTGATAACGCAGCAGGAGGAGGATTTAACACTATTAATTTACTTGTCCTTCGAAATCTTTTACCACTTATGCAGTTACAGACTTGTTTTAAGAGTATTCACATGCTGCATATTTTGAAAAGGTTATGCCCTCAGGCAGAAAAATAATCACCTGCCATTTAAAGACTAGGGGGTTAGTACTCATTCATCACTTGGCAGATTCATATCTACTTCTACATGTTTTTTTTAAATTGCTAATTTACTATTTTTTTGAATAAAGTATCTTACAAGTTAAGACTTGTAACACTATTTGTCCAAATATTATAAAATCCCATGCTTTGACCAAACATGACTTTTAAGTTTAGATGTAATCTTATCAGCTTGCCCTAATTCTGGACCCTTCTGGTAATGCTCAAATAACTGAGTTTAAAACTTTCCAAGGAGGCAACTGCTACTTTCATCTGTGTACAGTCAGATTTTTAACGCCAATTAATTTCAACATGATGCGAGCCAACTGGAAGGTCATGCAAGGTTCGAGCTGTAATATAAACCAGTTTTTGTAACCTTTCCATGTTTATACTTTTAAAATGATATGAAAATGGTATTTTCTAAGATGTGATTGGGCTTAAAAAATGCAACCCTTTGGGGCTTTATAACAATTATTTAAGAACTCTCATCTTGGTATTCACATGGATAAAACGTGGAATATTTTACTATTTGCTGTGCATCCCTCTGCTATTTGTAATCTCTCCAAGTTTCACAAGTGTGCAGTCACATTCAGTTGCACCAATTTCTGCTCCCAAATCAGCTTTCGAAATAAATTAAACTGCAGCAACTTGATATGAAGTCTTTAAAAAAAAGTTAGTCTGCTATAAATAGATGTTACTATGAGGACTAACAAATTCCATTAATTGTATATTGGCTGATGTACGTACGTGGGTCTGTTTTTGAGGGAAGGTGTATGTGCCTGAGTTATAATTAAGTAATTTGAGTATGAAATGGCTTGTACGTGCTCTCGCAAGACTACAAAAATCTAATCTGACCCAAAGCTAGCTATTTATTCTAAATACTGCTAAATTAGCACTAGAATCCTCTCCAGTTTCATGTCCCATAGAGCACTTAGTTATAATAATCCAAACTATTGTTTATTGATACAGTTGCAAATCTGAAGCCTAAGGTGCCTCCCTGAGGCATTAGGATATAAATTATTGCTTGGTCCAGTGTAATCTTGCCCACTTTAGACAGGTTGTTATTTCGATCAATCGTGTTCTCAATGCGCAGAGCTCGAGGCAAAGGTTTGAATTTCACACAGTTTGGTAACAAAAGATAAATTATTAGAGGTATTTCCCTGGTTCCATCTTTGCTGCCCTGCAGTATCCCAGTGACCCACATCTCTCGAGGCTTTAATTTTCTTTTTCTTTCAAGTTTCCACATGGCTTATTGAAGTGCAAAATTCCCTTCTAGCTGACAGGTGGAATTGGGAAGCAGATTATTTTCTGACATTGTGTGACAGGTCAGGAGAATAGGTTTTCTAAAAGAAGATCAAGGGGAGCAGATGTCAAATGTGCTCTAAATGTCATGCATCCTATGGGTAACAGGTGACTGAAGTTTGCACGTCATGTTAGGTGCTTAAGAAAGCTTTCGTCTAGCCACATAGTTTTAAAATATTTGTTTGCACGCGAGTATCTTTGCATCATTGCGAGTGTTTATTTAGCAGGTTAGTGAAAATGCAACCAAACTTATTACATCAAGGTCTCTTTTTATATTGTTGCAACAATTCAGCATGAAAGTTCTGGTGACCATAAAACGATTTGGGGCTGGAATGTGATGGTCAAACTACCTGAAGGTGTGTTCATTGGAGATTTACAGGGTATGGGGTCTGCAAATAGATACAGGTGGTGCAAACAGATTATGCCCTTATTCAAAAATAGTCCCTTAAAGGATTGGACCGAACAAGAATTGTTAAGGGATCTTTTTCAATGTCATTGAAGAATTGTTCGCATAATTGCACTTGCACAAAGTCCCCAACCCCTTATATATAATTTAGTATCCAGTCTTTACTTTCATATTCAGTGTCCGTATTTTCCTTTTTTTAACCAAGATTTCCTCTTTTTAAGGTTTATGTAGCTGCACTTCTTGCTTAACTTAACCTTGACATGGCTTTATATCTATTGCATTAGATAATAAGAACGTTTTAATAATATAAAAATATGCTACATTGGTTTAAAGAGATAAATCCAATTCTAATATGACAGTGTGTCCCATTTTTAGGTACAATATTGAGCCGAGCCTGTATAGCCCATTTTTCTCTCTGGGTGCTTGTATGGAGGGTTTGAATCTTCTATTTCGGCAACTTTTGGGTGTCACGCTTCACGCAGAACAGCCAGAAGAGGGTGAGGTCTGGTCTGAAGATATCCGGAAACTGGTGAGTTACTGCCTGAGTTTGTGATTAGTAATCAGATTGTAATTGTGTACTTTGAGGATCACCCTTTCTGAAGCTTGAGCTCCCATAATGGCTGAAAGAGCTTCAGGCTGGACCAGGGAAAGCTTTTATTATAGTGAAGGGATAATCTGAACAGGTTAGTTTATTTGTGCTTTTATTGTTTCTTTGTTTAGACCAATAGTTGGTACCACTTTTGTGTTACAAATTCAGTTTCTGTTTTATAAACTTTATAAATAATATCTTTATGTTATTCATTGTGTTTGGATTTTCAAAGGAATATCACTGGAGTTCTGGCAGTTTTTAGAGTGATTCAATTTCCTGAATATGCCAGGAATGGCCACCCTTGAATTTGCTTCAGGACTGGGGAATATTTGTGCTAAGTAACTAATCCTTTTTTGAAATGCTGTTTGATCACTGATGTCCTCCTTTGGCAGGCAGTGGTTCATGAAACAGATGGACTGCTGGGATACATTTACTGTGATTTCTTCCACAGGCCTGACAAACCTAATCAGGTATGTTATTACATAGGTAGTATAAATATTTGTATCTTATTCCAAGAAAAATCCAGATAAAAGTGAAAGCAAAGAAAAATCAGTTGCATTTGAAATCTTTAACAACAATTGTAATATATAATAATCTTGCATTTGATATAGTGCCTTATCATGTTGTCGAACCACCTCAAAGCACTTCACAGGAATTTATAGGCTAATTTGTCGAACACATGTCATCATTATCTTTATTCAACAGCTTACATAATCATCAGACTGGGTTTCTGATTGCTAATAGAAGTTTCTTAGTTTGTTGTTAATATTGTTATTGCACATATGAAAACATTGAGTAAAATAGTTTTTTGTTCAATGAAGGACTGTCACTTTACAATCCGAGGTGGGCGGCTTTTGGAGAACGGAGAGTACCAGCTTCCAGTAGTGGTGCTTATGCTTAGTCTGCCTCACCCAACTAAGTCCAGTCCAACCCTGTTAACCCCTGGTATGATGGAAAATCTCTTTCATGAAATGGGTCACGCCATGCATTCCATGCTGGGGCGAACCAGATACCAACATGTAACAGGTAGGAAATGTCTGTTAAACATATTTTGAATCCATTTGTAGTTAGTCAAGAATAAATCTGTTCTGATTTAGTAAAACGATTACTGTAGATTACAAAGCTGAGGGAACCAGAAATATTCTGCACTGTAAAACTTTCAAGATTTGTATCAAACGGCACCATTTCTATACTTTTGGAGGAAGGGAATTTTGTCTTGAGGAAGAAAGGAGTAAAGGTTGTATGACGAAGGGAATGCACAGTGCGTAGATACGCACATGTATGTATACAATGCCTTCTGCCTAGCAGAGGCTGGGTGAGGTGATGTTTATGATGATGTGTACCGAATGGCATTTTCTCATTCCAGTAGTTCTTATAATGTTCTTTCCCCTCGTAAACATTGAAATCTCCTGCATCAGGCTCTGTGAGTATATCACCCCCATCTTGGTTGGTTTCACTGGCTCTACATTCCCCAGAGGATCAAATTAAAGATCTTTGTCAAATCTCTTCACAGTCTTGACCCACCCTACTTCTGTAACCTCCTGCAACACTTCTATCTAATCCTCTCCCTCCACATGGTGAACAGAGGCTTGCTTCATGTCCCACCTGATCAGCCGCACTATCTGGACATCCAACCCAAGTCCCTCTGCTTTGCCACGTCCCTCCCCATCTTTAAAGCCCACCTTAGAATCTTTCTTTTCAACTGTGCCTTTAGCCACCATTTCTCTCCCAGCTCCCCCCATCCCCAGTTTGGGTTCCCAGTCAGCTCTGTGAAACCGTTTGAAATGTTCTTGTGACGTGAAAGACACTTGATAAATATAAATTGTGCTTATTGGAAATACTGTGATTGTATTTCTAACTGATTTGTTTAAATCTTTGCAATAATTTTGTCTTCCCGACGTGAAAGGCACTATAAAATCCAATTTATTGTTATTATTGTTGTGCACTGTTGCAATTGCTTCCTTCATTTACAATCTGCCGTTTTTCACCCAAGTTCCCAATAGTTTCATTTTGTTAACAACAAGATTACATTTGTACAACGCCTTTCACGTGGGAGGACATCCCAAGGCCCTGGACAGTATACAGCATTTCAAGATTACAATGTTAAGATTACAATGAAGAAATCTACCATTTCTTTTCAGGTACACGATGTCCAACAGATTTTGCAGAAGTTCCCTCCATTCTCATGGAATATTTTGCTAGTGACTATCGTGTGGTGAATCAGTTTGCAAGGCACTACCAGACAGGACAGGTAGAGGATCTTCTACTTGAATTCACTGTTACAAATTCTCATTATAGTCCATGCTATGGAGTTAATGTGGCTGATTTATTGATTTTTTTTTCCCCCCTGTGTGTGTTTGACACGCACTCGTTGGGTGTCATAATTAGCACCACACTCTCTGTAATACATTGTGACCTTAACACTGAAAGATTCATTATGCTGACGTACAGTGGAAACTCTCCATAGAGTCTCCCCACTCAAGTGGTCAACTCACGACCGTGCCATTGTTTTCCAGACTTCCATTTGCACAATATAGTATAATAAAAACTTATTTTACCAGCCATCTTGTATCCTGGTCGTCAATCAGCAGTTGCCCTTTGCGACGCACCAAGTCGTCCAGAGCACTGCACGCAAAAGCTTTCACAGGATGTAGAAAATGGCAAATCACATGGGATGAAGTATTCTGGGACTGTGTGATTGAAATGGCAAATCCCATTGTCTGGGGAACAATACAGCAACAATTTGCATTTGAATAGTTCCCATAACATTGAATAACGTCTTGGAGCGTTTCACAGTGGTGGGATTGGATGCCAAGCAAGAGGGTGGTGACCGTGGGCATGGTTAAAGAGGTAGGTTTTAACGTGGGATTAAAGATAGGTAGAGAAGGGATGAGATGGAGGAGTAGAGGCAGGGAGTTCCAGAAGTTAAGGGAGTAATGACTAAAGGCTTGGCCACCGATAGCGATGTGAAGAGGAGAAAAAGAGAATGATCCAAGTTTGTATTGAAACTACTGATTTATTGTCCTCGGTTTGACTTTGACGATTTATGGTACAAGTACAACAACTTAATCTGAAACCATGCCTTCAAAGGTGCAGAAATGCAAATTATGTCTAACACAGTTTTTCTTGAGTACTGATACAAGGGCATGATATCAAATAAATCCCATATACACAGTGGTTTATTGAAAAAAAATTTAAGCTATGACTCACTAGTGAGGTCAACTCGCTAATGTGGTCAAATTTTCTCAGTCCATTTGTTCATCATCTTACAAAGGTCACACTAGTTTTTGCTCGGTCCAACATACATGCATGTGGTCCTTATTACAATTGAATTGAAACATGGAGCCCATTTAGATTCCTTTGTCCAGTTGTCTTTATTCTATTGCCTAGTTTATGATATTAGATTGGCGTGGGATGTAAAATTACATTTCCTGTTCCAAAACCTCATTCATGGGGCTTGAACGCTTCTACTTTTGCATTGTATGTCTTCTGGTTTCAATGTAAAATAGCTAGTCTCCCAAATGTTTCTTTTAAGAAGTTTCAATTGGCCGTTTCGATTTATGACAATAAATTGAAGCTCGCCCAACATTGCTCTGTGGCAGTGATATTTACTGAGATATTTAGTAAAGTTATGGTGCTGTTAAATAAGTAATTTAAGAGGCAATTCATAAGCAGAGCCCCACCCAACCTTAGCCTACAAACATTACGTTCACCCTACAAAAGAAATTCTGTAAAACCTCCATAATCAAACACTTGCATTCATGAGATGAAGGGGATTTGAGCAGCTTTATTAAAATAGACAAGTGGAAATGGAAATTCCGAGATTTGTATAATGACACACATTCCACTATAATTCAGCTAAAAGGGAGTCAGCACGATTCAAATGGTCAGTGTGTGCCTGGAGGCAAAAGTAAAATCCCTGAGAGATGAAACCAGCCTCAGGTAGAAATTAATCAGATAATGACTTCATTTTGGGGAAGCCGAGGAGAGCTTAAATGTTTGCCATGTTTATTTTGAGCAGTGTGTAGGTGTTGCTGAGATAGTCACAACACTTTACAGAAGATTATGTGAAGCACTTTGAGATGTTCCCCTGGCATGAAAGCTACTATAATAAAATGCAGATTGCTGTTATAAGGTAACCAGGTGTGGGAAAGCAGATTTGAAGCTTTATGTTCTCACTTTCAGACCTCATTGTTCATCAATCGAAGATTTACAAGGTTGACTGACTGACTTCTATATTTGGCTGTTGTTATTTAACAATAGATAGAAATGGGATTTGAAAATCCTGACCAAGTAGAAGCTCTTCCATTTTGTTGGATTGGATTTAATTATATTTTTGGTTGCAGACCTATTTTCGTGAGACCCGAATAAACTCCCCACTTAACATTCTATCATGAAATTGTCTTATTAGTTCAGTAGCACTGTAGATTGGCACTAAATTAGCTTGTTCTTCATGTTGATATGGTGATTACTTCAGACAACTCTTATCACATGATATATACCTGAAGCAATGTACATTTCCTCCACATACTCCCAAGTTTATTGTTCAAATGTGTTTGTGCTGAGATTGTTTTGTATTAGTTTGCAATGTCAGTTGATTTACTGAGAACACATAGGTATAATAATGGGTATAATAATAATTATAATCCTTACATTTGGAAAAACATCTTTCACATCGGGAGATGTGCCAAAGCGCTTTGTAGGATATACTGTAGTTCAGTGACTGTGTTTCATGGACAAATAGAATAATAATGCTGTTATGACAAGAGGGATTGAAACTTTAGGGCAAGAATTGCAAAGACTAGACCATGGAAACAGGCCATTCATCTCAACTAGTCCTTATATGTGTTGATACACCACATGAGCCTCCACCTATTTCCCTCTCACGTACCCATCTATTACCTTCTTCCTCATGCAATAAGATTTGTGGCGGTCTGAAAATTGCTTTGAGTAAATAGTTCCTGTCTTTTCCATTTCAGCCGTTACCACAGAACATGATCACCCGGCTCTGCGAATCTAAGAAGGTTTGTGCTGCAGCAGACTTGCAACTGCAGGTGGGTAAATGTACAGTCACATAATCTCCAATTAATCTGTCCTCTAATCCTGACCTGAGTTATAACTATTCAGCAGTGGAGTTTGATTAACTGCATACGAATTAGCATTAGTTCCATTTGTAAAATTCCTGACTGAATTGGGATTTTTGCCAAACTGTCAAGGAAACATTGGCAAACAAAGGATTAGGGATATCCTTTTGCACTGTGTAATAACCCTGCTACTGAAAATAACATGAGTGTAAGGACAATGTGATGTGACTGGAGAGTTTTGTAAATTATTCCAAGACCATTGCTTCATTAGATTTACTAACAAATAAATTGGAGGTGATACTGTGTGTTCTATAGTCCTGGCTCACTGAGTGGTAGGTAGCATGTGGTTTCATGTCTGCATTTTTGTATTTGATCCATTCTCTATCTCATTGTTCCCACCCAGGGAAGTAGGAAAGATTAATCCAATGTTGCATTCTTTCTCATTTTCCCACCCAGGGAGGTAGCCAAGAGTTCCAGCAATTCCTCTCAGGCAAGAGAGGAAATGCAGGAATCATTGAGCACCTTATCCTCTACTTGCCTTCCTGATATCTATCCAATAATAGGGTGAGGGGTGAAAGAGGGATTTAACATACAGTATTAGAAATTTGCAAGCAAGATTCCCCCAATTGTTGTGACTTTTATTTGAGTAACAAAGACTTCTAGAGTGGAAAGGTCCTAACTTAAACATGTCATGAGTTAGCAGATCTCAACCAGACACATTAAGGACTTCAGTTTAGTTACAGCTCTGGGTTTAGAATTCTTGTTGAAGATCTGTCTCCGTGGAAGTCAAAAGATGCGAGGATCAGACTTTAGCACACATGCACATTTGCTTACCATACACACAAGTAAACTTCAGCAGCCGGCCAACACTTGTTGTCGAGGCTTATACATCAATAATGGTCACTTTAGAAAGGTATTGCAGGATGATGAATGCTGGGTGGAACAGTACCCATATCCCATTATCCCAGGGGAGGGAAAGGAAATGCATTAAATTGTGTTAACTGCTTAACATTACATTTACATTACAGTTACATTTCTGTAACTTTAAAAATCTTTTTAAAAATCTATTAAAACTCCTCTTGTCCTGTAGGAAATCTGTACTTAAAGTAGATTGAATCAGAATGGAGTTCCTGTGAGTTGGTGTGATATTCTTTATGTTCCCATAAATAGTCTACATTTTGTGCAATTCTGATTTCTTATAAGAAATCTTACAAAGAAATATCGCAAGTTAGACCTCAGGACTGGGAATTTGACTTGTAATAAAATTTAAATTGCAGAACAAATCTGCCATTTAAATATGACATTTTATACCAAACAAATAATGTTCTAAATTAGCCTTTTAGAAACACATTACATATAGTTCAAGTAAGATAGAAAAATGCATTAACAAATGTTTTGTTTCAATTTAGATCTTCTATTCTGTCCTGGATCAGATATACCATGGGCAACATCCTCTACCGGAATCAACAACCAATATCTTAAAGGAAACTCAGGAGAAGTTTTATGGACTTCCCCATGTACCCCACACGGTGAGGCACTTTATTAACATTCAGCCTTCAGTCAGACAAGAACTCATCTGTCGGGAAATATTGTACCTGAATTGTGGCTTTGTACTTTGGCTTGATATATGAAATGACCAACTTGCAACAGAGTTGCGTTTGATATTTGGGTCCATAAAATAGGATTTATGAGACTAGTCAGCTCTCAGGGTTGTCGGGGTGTTGATGACTTTGGCTGACCGAGCGCATCATGCAGGAGTACTGATGTCATCACTGTGAACTCAGCCAGTCAGTGCCAAAGCGTACTGCACTTCTGATATCTGCAGATCCACAGTGCGTCTAGGTGACCCATATACTGACACTATATTGTTATCGCAGCTTGTATTTAATCATTTGTTCTAACCACTGATGATCCAGAGGATTTGGAAAAGTGATGATGGGGTCTCATCTGTAATATTCCCGCACTGTTGTCAGTTGTGTTAATTGCCATTTCTGGTTTGCGAAGATTCATGGCCAATGAATCATGAATCCCAAGTTGAGAAAGTTTCTTTTCAAAAATGCCAGTGGATGGAAATTTGTTAGTTTGCCCTCTTTTCAGAAGTTGCCAATTTGAAGTTTGCGATTCACTAGGCGCGTATTTTGCCACCCAGATCATTGGAAATAGTGACTGTGTCTCTCTGATTGTGTTGCTTTTTAATGAAATATACTGCTCTCTCTCTACATATTGTTTTCTTTAAGTAGTAATGTGTACAATATTAGAGAACTGTTTGATCTGTTTGGTGACTTTGGGAAGAGTATAATAATCCTTCCCATTCTGCACACTTGTGCCAGATGTCGCTTCCTCCAAAGGCATTCCCCTTGGATACCATCAGGGAGATAATGGAGAAAAGGAATAATATTGAACAAATAACTATTCCAGAAGGTAAACTACTTCTTCAGTTTCTGGGACTATGTTGGATTCAGGATATTGTTGGTGTAAGGCTATAAAATTGTTTGCAGGACCTTTTATGGTAAATTGAAATCCTAATTCTAAAAGAATTGCCTTCAGCCAAGATACAAACAAAGTTACTGTAATAACAGTAATGTTACACTGCAAACAGATGGCTGTTTTATGATCTCCTTTCTTGTCTCCAGTTAGATTTTCTTGCTCGTCGCTTCACATGCTTCTATTCATGTGAACTAAATTATGTTTAAACATGCTGATAGCGATGCAGCTGTTACTATTTTGTTTTAAATTGAGCACACTAAGGGTTCAGTAATAAAATCAATAGGGAGTGTCCGAGCTAGTACAAAATGGAACCCAGCAAAAATCTAAAGGATTTAAAAATACTTGCCAGGGTTCTGAAATGCTGTACACTATCCAGCACCTTGGAACGTCTCCCGACGTAAAAGGCGCTACACAAATGTAATCTTGTTGTTGTTGTTGTTAAGTGTCCACAGCAGTGTTCTTGTGAAGAAGACCTTGTAATTTTATTTTGCCTTACACATCGATGTTGTAAATTGCTTCGCAGAATTTACAGTCGTATGGTGACTTTTTTGTGGGCAAATGCGGCAGCCATTTTGTGCACAGCCACGTTGCACAAACAACCATGAGGTGAATGACCAATTAATCTGGAGAATGGTTGCTATGAGAATTTACTTTTTTTGAATGATGTCATGGCATTTTTAACATCCACTTGAGAACAAGGCAGACATTGAACAACTCTTCACTGCAAAGTCAGCATTCAGTCTCTTAACTACAGGAAAATAGTACTTCCAAAAGTGCAGTCTGATGAAACTTTAAGACAACAACTTTAAGACAACAATCTATTACTAAAATTAGCCTATAATTCTCTTCTATCATAAATGTAAAATGAAAATCCTCAGGTTTAATCTCTGTTGGAAGCAAGCTACTTCTTCAAAAATACTGTATTCCAAATCTTGCCTGCCAAGGATAGATACAGCCTTGTTTAACAAACCCATTGAAAAAATAACACGTAAAACAGAGATTGTTGGCAGGTAAATTATAAACAAGAGATAATTTTGTTTGCCGATATTTGCAGCCATCTTTTCTCTCCACCACCCAAGTCGGGTTCAGCATGTCTAGGTTCAAGGTCACTCTCCATGATCTAGAAATATCTCTTATCCCCACCCTCACAAGTTTTCACAGTTTGTTGTACTCAATTCTCACATCAAACTTTTTGAGTTCTTTCACAATTTGCCAATGAGCATTGAACATTTTGTGCAATGTTCTGTGTGATTTAGCCTGAAATTGCCCCAAATCCATTTCATGTAGGATACTTGCTACAACAACTACTACTACAACTTGGATTTATATAGTGCCCTCCACGCCGGACGGCTACCAATAGAAAGATTTTCTTTCCCCCCACTTTAAGAACTAACTCTTTAACTGTGCCTATGGTCATCTGCCCCTTATCTTGGTACCAGCAAGTGATCAGGGACATTGCTTTCTTTCCTTTCAAGTTTCTTGACCCCTTCCCTCATGAATATTAAAGTGGTTACTGCGATGGGAACCAAACTAAACACACTTGCCTATACTTGAGGTGTGTTAGAACATCCAGTGAACACATTTGATGTAGGTTGGAGATAAGATCTGATCCAATTACAAAGTAAGGGCACCTTTGTTTAAAGTGACAGTTTCATGCTAATTTATTTTTTGTTTCTTCTTCCCCAACACTGTTTTTGCTTTTTTTAAAAAAAAGCTTCTCTCCCTCAATTTGCCAACCTGCTGTTTCATCACTCAGCACATTTCGCTTTGATGAAACTGAGGCAGGTTTAAGTATTAATTTTAACTAAAGATTGCATAACATCTTAAAATGAAGAGGCTTAAAGATTACTATAGCTATGTACTGAGAGAGTAATTATTTTCATGAATCACATTATATCAATCATTGTATCCACCGAATCAACCCAGACATAAGAAAGTGCTGCAGCATGAAATACTGGGGTTTGTATATGATTTGAAATGTCTTTGACTTATTGGAAGAACTTGGAGTGGCAGATTGGTAAATGGGAGCAAAGTTTCATTCAACTCTGTCCCTGTTAACCCGGCAAGCCAGACAGGTAGCAGAGGACACTGGGTGTGGTGGTACCAGCTATACAAAGAGCAGCAAGCTTGCCAGATCAGTGCTCTCAATGACAAGCTATGAGGTTTTAAGTTTAATTTTATGCAGTGACAGACTAAAATAAATCTTCCTGAATATGGATTTGTTTCCATGTTTTTCCAGATATTGTGTTCTCTTAGCCTAACTTAATCTCCTCTTCCCTGTCAATTAGCTTATCAACATTCACTAGCCAGAGTTGCACTTATAATAGTAAACCTTGTCACGTCATTGAAACGTCTCAAAGCGCGTCACAGAATATATTATAAAGTGGAGTGACTGTGTGTTTTGTGGGTGAAACGCGGCAGCCAGTTGCGCACAGCAGTGCCCCACAAACACTCGTGGATTGAGAAACCAATTTTTTTTTGAAGGTTTATTACCACCAGAAAGTAGTTCACCAATCGACTAAAAAATGGGTTCTTACTTACTGCCAGATAAACAGAGTCATGTGGAATAAGGAAATTGGAATAAGGTTTTGCCCTATCCTCGGGAATTGAACCCGGGTCCTATTGCATGCGAGTAGAGGGTGCTAGCCACTACGCTACAATACGCCACATGAAAAATGGTCACTTGTTGTGATACAAGAAGGTGCCTTTTGTAACCGGACTCCAGTAGAAAAAAACTTGTATTTATATAGAGCCATAAATGTAGAATAACATCTGAGCGCTTTACAGTGGTGGGATGGGAGCCAGGAATGGGGAAAGATAACCATAGGCGAAGAGATAAAATTTAAGGTGAGACTCGAAGACTAATAAAGGGGGCAAAGGGGAAGGTGTTTGTGAGGTTAGAGGCATAAAATCAGAAATCTTGCTAATGATAGCAAGGAGTACATTAGAAAAATACACCCAGGAGATGACAAAGGTTTGGACAAGCATTTAGGTGGCTGATAAGCAGAATGGTGAAGTCAAGCATCTTCAAGAAAGAGCAATTGGCATAGATTTGTGTTCAAAAAAGGCTAAATAATTATATTTCGATTATGATTAATGCAAATGAACATGGATTTTAAGAAAAAAATGTTGGGTTGTGTTTTTAAATACATATTCTTTATTGCTAGATCAAAAATCATTGAGGATAAAGAATAATACAGAGTTCTTAACCGTGTTTGATTGGAATGTCAAGCAGGTCAGCATTGATTTATGGGCTTTGAAACCAGTCAAGTGTCCCGTATAATGTGGTGCAAATACCTCCATTGTGGTCTGCTGGTATATGTTTAATGAAAATGTCATGGATTAGAAAGAGTTCTTCAGACTACAAGTAAAAGAGCTCATTTCCTGTTGAACCGAATAGCAGCTAAAACTGAGGCTACATAAACTGCCAGGATCTATTAAATATTTGAAACTAAAAACATTGTGTACAGTTAAATTTTTTGTGTGTCTCTCCTTCCCACTCCCCCCTCTCTCTCTCTCTCTCCCTCTTTCTCTGTCTGTCTCTCTTTCCCTCCCATCTGTCCATTGTGGAGTCCTGTAGCTCAGTGGTTAGAGCACTCGCCTTGCAAGCCGGACACCTGGGTTCAATTCCAGGCAGGGCGAAACCTTGGGCAAGTTTCCTTACTCCACACGCCTAATAATAATCCCTCCAAAAAACTAAGCAATAATAAATTGGTCATTTTCAATCCATGACTGTTTGTGGGACACTGCTGTGCGCAATTGACTGCCGCAATTCGCCCACAAATATAGTCAATTCACTTTACAGTCTTCTGTGAAGTGCTTTGAGACGTCTAAAAGAATTATTATTTTGAATAATTAGAACTATTATTAGAATAATAATTATTATATTAAAATTATTTGTACAGTAGTTTAAAGTGGGGAGGGAGAAATATTGTTGACATGTTCTCTGTTCCATTACTGAAAATTTCTTCCTGACTTGGTAAAGTATGAACTAATTTAGCTGTACTGACTCCCGGCTGTAGTTCAGTTTTGATGAGGGGTG